ATAATAAAAAATATGTAGTAAATACAGCTCATAAGTATATCTTAAAATATTTCAATTTTTAAACAATGTCTTTTGGTTAAATGCTAATTTTGATCTCTTAACTTTATAGAGTTACACCTTTTTTTATTCTTCAACTATTTTTTATATTTTTTTGATCTCTCAACTCCAAATAGTGCACATTTTTTATCACCCATCAGTTAATTCTGTTAACTCGGTCCACATGGCATTTTCCTCTTTTTTTTTTTTTGTAATGACGTGTTAATGACAAATCATACAATTAGTTTGGTGAATAATGCCAAGTCAGATTTAATTGTCATTTTTTATTCTTTTTAACTCTTTAAATATAAAATTATGAAAATATCCTTAATTTATTCTTCTTACTGATTCGCTAAAATTACCCTAACAAGTGTACTAGTTTCTCCAAGTAATATAATGATAAGTAGAATGTCAAACTCACGAGGATTGTGAATAACTAAGTACCAAAATAATTAATCCAAATTTATTTAAACAATCAAAAAAGAAGAAACTTTAATTAAAATTAAGAAAAAGAAAATAATAATTAAAATAAAACTAATCAAGATATGAGATATTAAAGTATCGACTTCACCATAATCAATTAATATAGATTTTTTATTATTATACTTTCAAAATATTACTATTCATGTGACAACAAGATTTCTTATCATATTTGATATACTTTCTCAAATTATACCAAACATATCTTAATCTATTAACCCACTATATCTCTATGTGAATTTAAATAAATAAAGATGCATTATACTCTGTGAAAATTCCTAATTTACATAGAAAATTAAGTTTACTTATCACTAATACTGCACGAATCGTGTTGATTCATCTCTTATTTTCGTTCAATTCATAATATATATTATTAGAAATTATTGCATAAAATTCATCTCGATTTCAAGTATGCTCTCCAAATTAGTTTTAATGGTGATCAAGCATTAAAAAGCATTAAAAAGCATTAAGAACAATAATATATACTCATCATGGAATAATAATCTCAAAAGTGTAAAAATCATAAAAATGCATATTGAATTAATTAGGTCACATCTTAACCTTAGTTGACTAAATCAGCTTATAATAAAAATAATAAAACTTGAAATCATAATTATGAACATTCGAATATCAAACAATAGATAAAAAGAATCTAATGAAAAATAAAACTCAATTTGAGAGAATTAGATTTATTGATCTTCTATTATTGATAAAACCTTTATCTCGATCTCTAATAATGCTCAAAAGAAAGTTACCACCAACCTCTTCAAGCTCTTCAATTCTGAATTTGAATGGATATTTATAGGATTTTAGAAACCCTAATTGAAATAAAAGTAAAATCCATACCCATAATAACCAATTAAACACGGATTTTGAGAAAATTGCGTAAGGAGTCAACACCTTCAACAAGGTGCCGACACTTTTTGTTCAGCGCACAATGCAACCGCCGTGTCGGGTTTTTGGCCTTCTTAGCCATTTCTGTAATGGTCAAATGACAGTCCTGATTCCTGACTTCTGAATTCTGCACAAGTTGATCCCTAAGTTTTTAATCTCTGCAATCTACTTTTAAAAATTATAATTTTTTTCAATTAAGTCTGTTCTTAAAAAAATTAAAATAATATAAAATCACATAAAACCGTGTAAAACTCATTCAAATATCAACCATATAACTAACGATTTCACGTTAATATGTATATAAATTCTGCTCATCAACTACTATCATTCTCCTCAGTCCTTTCTCTCTCTATGCTCATCACCACCGTTGGAAACGTCTCCAGTCTCCTCACCACAACCATCGTTTCTGGCCATCATTCCATCCATTGTTCCTCTCTCTTGTCACTGTTTCTCTTCTTCCTTCCCTCTTTTCCCCCTTCCTTAGCTATGAGAATGTTCACGAGGAACCCAACAATGGGTTCGTCATGAACCCGGAGGAACCCAGCAATGGGTTGCCTAAACTGAGGCGACCTGGTTCGTCGCGAACCTAGGTTGTGAACCCAGACAACCCGGGTTCGTTGCGAACCAAGGAATGGGTTCCTAAAGGACCCAGGTTCGTGAATGGGTTCTTGAGGAAAGGTTCTTCGCGAACCAAAGAATCCAGATCTGGGTTTGTACAAACCTAGGAACTGATTTTGGTTCTCCTTCTTGTTCTTTACTTTCATTTTTTTTTGTTTTTTTTTGGGTTTTTGGAGGATTCTTGGTTTTGACCTTTTTTGCGGGGAAAAGTGTAGGGTTTGTAGATGAGATTGTGGTTGGTTTTGTTTGGATTTGTCTACAAGGTAGAAATCAGTTGATTTGGCAAGAACCTAGATCTGGGTTTGTACAAGCTTAGGAACTGATTTTGGTCTTCCTTCTTGTTCTTAACTTCAATTTCTCTTAGTTTTATCTATGCAATTTTGGAAGGATGCCAAATTTGAACATCTTTTACAGTGAAAAGCGTAGGGTTTATAGATGAGATTGTGGTTGGTTTTGTTTGGATTTGTCTACGAGGTAGAAATCAGTTGATTTGGAGAGAAATTTGAAGCCCAGAGCAATGGAGGGAAAAGAGAATCATTCAATTAATTAAAATTAATTGACATAAAATGGTTAAATTCTTAATTAATTTATAAATATAAAAGGTAATGTGGGAATGTGGGACCTATTTGAAGGGGTTTTAATGTATTTGATTTGTTGGAACGTGACGTGATATGATGTTTTATTTATATCAATATTTTTATGTTGTTTTTTTATGTGATCAAAAAAAATATAAAAAATATTACATACATAAAATTAATGGTTTAAATTGACAAAAAAATAAAAATTATGTAACTTTTAAAGTTGAATGACTAAAAATAATATAAAAAATAATTGAAGAATAAAAAAAGTATAATTTTTTTTTTGAACACGGAGAAAGCATTGCATTACAGCACCACCTCCAAGAAGGCATGCTCAAATCAATAAAAGAATAATAATTTCATTTCAAATCGATCATATTTATATAAAATGAGTATAGTCTTGCCACCACTTCAAAAACAAGCTAAAATGTGCTTTAAAATTGAAGGACGTTATCATAATTTACTTACCTCACTAGCATAAAACCAAAAACTCAATCCATGTACTAAAGTGCCCCAAAGATCAAGAACCTAACCAAAACATCCAAGAATTAATTCTATAAGCAATTTCATTTATTTATTTATTTTATCTTATTTTTCTTCTTTCTGAATTTGAGCATTAACCCGAAATGGGTATATATATATACACAAATAAATACATATATATATAGCTTCCCCAAACTCACGGACAATAATGGGGAACAAGGCTTTTATTCCAATTATTGATTTAATTATACACAACACATATATACCAAAATTTCCAAATTCATGGACAAAAAAGGGAGAACCTGAACTTTGGCAAAACAATAGCAAATCACGGGGTTTTCTCCAAAAATCATCGTAGCCAAAATAAGCTAATTTTCTACATGAATTAAACTTAAAATATGTTCAAATGCTGCCGGAATTTATCCCTTTTTTTCTACAGAATTTCGAACATCACAGGGGCAGCAAATTAATGGACAAAATTCAGCAACTAACGGTAATTTGGACTTAGATTAAGTTGTCACTTACCAGAATTCAGCAAACAAAATCGAAATTCAGTTTCTACCATTAACAGTTAATCTTTACCAATGAATACAATATTGAACGCTGGAAGAATAAGAGACAGATAGCTGTGCACTCAAAAATCAGATGTCTCAACAATTTCATCAAGTGAAGGTCCCAATCCAGGTTACTTCATTTGCATTTCTCTAACTAATTACAATCTCCATGTGGTTTCTTTACTTTTTAAGATAAGAACAATGATATGACAAAAGTTATATTTTCCTGCATTGTAGATCTATTATGTTCGTGATGCTGTGGGGAGACTAAATGATCAGTGATGCCAATATAAAATTTGCAGAGGTATATTTCAAACGTCTGTTTTAAAGCGTTATTTTTATTTGTTTATCTTTCTATTTGATAAGATGGCTTCCCTTTAATTATTTTGTTTAGACTCTAATACAAAATGGTCTGTTTTAGCCATTATACTGATTTAACCTATAAAAGCTGCACAGTGATTAATAGCACAATTTATTGAAGTACAATCAATTTTTTCTTCTTCCATATATTGTTTTAGAAACTAAGGTTATGTTCAATTGGATGGAATGATTATTCCTTGTTCAATATGTAAAAATAAGGCAAAATAAAGAAGGGTATTTCAAAGTCTAGAAGATAAGAATAAGGTTGGATATTTTCTTTTAAATTAGTGAATGAGATAGGAATTATTAAAACCTGTGAAGAATATAGTAATGGCTATTCCTATCACATTCCAAAATCTAAAAAGGATAATAAGCAACATTCCCCACCTTATTCCTAAAGTGTCAAGCACTTCGTTTTATCTTGTTTTCATTCATTGACCAACAAATAGAAATTCCATTGAATCAAACATAGCCTAAAGTTCCTTTGGCACCCATTGATTGAAATTGTACCATGTTTTAATGTAGACAACATTGATAGTTACCTCAAGACTTTAATGGGGGGTTAGGATTGATCTATGCTGAACTGTAGGTAGGTAGATACCTTAATGCTTTCAATTAATGCAGTTAGGATTTGTCTACGCTAAAGTGTTGTTCAAGGAAAGATGGTGCGTCAAATCCTCATTTCGTTTTTTGGCATAGAGAACTGCATGTGTTAAGCAATACAAAGTTGCCCAGATGACAAAGTGAATCTAATTACCAAAGTAATCATATCTAACATAGAATTCGTTAAATGATTATTTTAGTGATGTGAAAAGTGATTCAAGTAGTTGAATATGATTCGGATTTGATTTGTTGTTATGTCACACCCTACTTTAGCAGTGCATCATGCAAAAAATTTACTAGATGCTAATTTCTACTTCTATCCAGGTATTTTCTTTCACTGACATTACTTTCCTATGGTTGCTGTCATGTAGGCGAGAGGATTGAAATTTTACTTCCCTGAAGGATATTTTAGTGCATAAAGTTGTTACAAGTATGTTCATCACTTACCTTTTGTTGCTACATGTGGGTTCTGCATGGTGGTTGAAAAAGCATGCAAATTTCAGCTTTTAAAATTTCGTTGCATAAGAAATCTTGTGGCAGTCAAAAAGGTGTTAAAATGCATGCAAAGTGCAGAGTTGAAAGTGTGGTTATTTGGCAAGATGGTGCAGCCGAAAATCTTGACATAAATGGATTTTGCTTCTGCGTGTATCCATGAAATTAAAGGTTAAGACTTTGAAGGCCATTGCATTTATTGTGCATCGTTGAATTTTGATCTTGCAGCCCATTTCATTAATTTTGGGCGGTGGATTTTTGGCTATAAAAGCCATTTGGCCATTCGGCAAAGCAACCAAGAGAGCAATCCAAAGCAAAGTGAGCTCTAGAAAATACAAGAGTTTTGTGAGTGCTTTAAGTGAGGGTGAGTAAGAGCAAAGTGGTTAAAATTACTTTGCTAAGTGTGTTTTTTGAGTGTCTCTTATTTTTTAAGTGTGTTTCGCATTCAAAAATACTGTGAGTAAGATTTGGGTGTACTTGAGGCTTGTATATTTTTTTGAGAGTATCACAAATTGTATCTCCCTATTTTAATAGTGAATTTTTTTTTGTGAGTGCCCGTGAATGTAGACTTAATTAAATTGGAGCTGAACCATGTAAATTCTATCTTTCTTGTGGTGGTGCATTTTTTTTACTCCATTAATTTCTTAATCTTGTATTGGGTAAACCAAAATCTCAAACAATTTGTTCCAACAAACTGGTATCAGAGCTATGGCGGTGGTTAGTTCTTGAGAAATTCGTTTAATCATGATGGCATCTTGAGCCAAGTACGAGATTGAGAAATTTAATGGTGGCAAAAATTTCAGCTTATGGGGGTTCAAGATGCGGGCCATGCTAATACAGCAGGGCCTGTGGAAAGCACTAGAAAAGGAAGGCAGGCTACCAAAAACTCTACCAGAGGAAGAGAAGATAGGAGCGGGCACTGAGTACAATTCAGCTCTCACTTTCTAACAAAGTCTTGGGGGAGGTTGCAGAAGAAAATTCAGCTTCTACATTATGGTCAAAGCTGGAAGCCCTTTACTTAACCAAATAAGTCACTAACTGATTGTATCTAAAGAAACGGTTGTTCACCCTCAGTATGAATGAAGGTGGTTCCATCAAAGACCATCTTGATGAGTTCAACAAGCTCATTTTAGACTTGAAGAATAAAGATAGAAGATGAAGACCAGGCAATTATTGTTTTGTGCTCGTTGCCTGACTCTTATGACAACTTTGTTGAAACTCATCTTCATAGTAGAGATCAACTCTCTATGGAAGATGTCAAGGCGGCTCTGAATTCAAGAGAATTGAAGAAGAAGGTGTCCGAAGACAAGAGTGGTGATCAAGCAGCAGGATTGGTCATAAGAGGTAGACAAAGTAATAGAACTTTCAACAAGCGAGGAAAGTCTCAATCCAAATCGAGAGCCAAGCATGGTCGATGTTACGGGTGCAATGAGATGGGACATTTCAAGAAAAATTGTCACAAGCTCAAGGAGAAAAAAGCTGAAAAATTCGATGATGCTAACATTGCCAGTTGTAGTGATAATTTAGATGATGAAGATTGTGTTTTACCTATCTCTACAAACTCCTCCAGTCAGGAATGGATTTTAGATTCGGGTTGCTCATTCCATGTATGCCTATAACGTGACTGGTTTGAAACATATAAACCAGCCACTAGCACGGTGGTTCTTGGTGATGATACAACATTGTCTATTGTTAGAATTGGCAACATCTGGATCAAGATGTATGATGGGACAGTCAAAACATTCAAGGTTCGTCATGTGTCAGGTTTGAAGAAAAATCTCATTTCCATGAGTGAGCTTGACTCCAAATGCTATCGATACTCCTGGGAAGGTGGAGCTCTCAAAGTCTCTAAAAGAGCTCTTGCAATATTGAAGGGGAAGAAAGTTGGTGGTCTTTATCACTCACAAGGAAGCATAGCCAATGGCACATGTGTTGTGTCAACTTCAAGTAGTCAAGATAAAGATGTGACTTGGTTATGGCATATGCGACTTCGGCAAAGGAGTCCATCGAACTCAAGGCACAGTTGATTACATTCACTCAGACTTGTGGGGTCCCTTGCTTGTTACATCAAAAGGTGGAGCTGTGTATATGTTGACCTTCATCGATGATTATTCAAGAAAGGTGTGGGTATACAAATTAAAGAGTAAGAGTGATGTGTTCCTCACCTTTAAGCAATGGAAGACGCTGATTGAGAAGCAGAGTGGAAAACAAATCAAACGCCTAAGAACAGGCAATGGTCTTGAGTATTGCAGTGGTGAGTTTGATACTTTTTGCAAGAATAATGGAATTGTGAGACATCGCACTGTCAGGATGACACCACAGCAAAATGATGTTGCAGAAAGGATGAATCATACACTCTTGAAGAGGGCATGGTGTATGCTCTCAAATGCTAGATTATCAAAGGAATTTTGGGCAAAAGTTGTCAATCATGCTAACTATCTTGTAAATCGGTCTCCATCCACAACAATTGGATTAAAGACTCTAGAAGAATTATGGTCAAGTTCTCCTGCTGATTATTCACAGTTAAGGATATTTGGTTGTCCTATGTATGCTCATGTTAGGGATGGTAAGCTTGAGCCAAGGGTAGTGAAGTGCGTATTTCTAGGGTACGCTTCCGAGGTAAAAGGCTATAAACTATGGTGTGTTCAGAAGTCACCTCGATTCCTCATAAGCAGAGATGTAACCTTTGATGAGTTTGCTATGCTCCAAAAAGCAAAAAAGGAGTCAACAATTGCAAAGCCAGACCATGGAGTTAGCAAGCAGGTGGAGTTTGAAGCAACAACTCCAGAAAAGGCAGTGTGAGATGGCAATATTATCCAAGAGAATCTAGATGTGGTGCAAGATCCAGAGCTAATAGATACTCCAATGGAGGTGGAAGCACCTGAACAAACACAACAACAGTAAAATATTGCTACTGGTAGATAGAGGAGGGAGACCAAACCACCTCAGAGATATGGCTATACAGATTATGTTGCCTATGCTCTATCAATTACAGAACCAGTGGAGGCTGAGGATCCCAACACTTATCGAGAAGCAATTACCAGTAAAGAATCTCCTTATTAGCTTACTACCATGACAGAGGAGATTGAGTCTCTACATAAGAACCAGACATGGAAGCTTGTGAAGCCACCAAAGGGACAAAGAATTGTTGGATGCAAATGGGTCTTCAGGAGAAAAGAAGGAATCCCAAGGGTAGAGACACCAGATTCAAGGCTAGATTGGTTGTGAAGGGTTTCATACAACGAGAGGGTATTGATTTCCATGAGGTATTCTCTCCTGTGGTAAAACACAGCTCTATTCATGTTTTACTTGCCATGGTTACTTTATATGATCTTGAGTTGGAGCAGCTTGATGTAAAGACTACTTTCTTACATAATGAGTTGGAGGAACGAATTTATATGTCTCAGCCAGAGGGATTCATAGTTTTAGGAAAAGAAGATCATGTTTGTTTGCTCCAGAAATCCTTATATTAAGAACAAACAAATTAATCAATTATAAGGTCATCGCTGAGTTGGTCCCACAAAAATGGGACTAGGAAATAACCCTGCCATTTAGCATTTTTGCATGCAGCAAACAGTCTCAAAACTAGGAACTTATACTCCTATGCTAACAGGCCAAGACTCCCATTACTGCACTAAACATTTAACACTCTCCTTATCTGCCCTTTCTATCTAGCTGTAGTTGTTTTTTTTTTCTTTTTTTTTTCCCAATATATAAACTAATATTTTTCGAGCAGAACCCTCAAATCACTCCTTAAAGAAGATGGGTAGGAACGGATCCACCCCCCACAAAAATGAAAGGACATTTGGCCCTCAAAATTATCGACTGACCCAAATCACCAATTATTTAACTATTGATGTCATCACCGTCACAGTCTCCGTTTAGCTCATGCCAACATGTTGTTTTTTTACACGCTAGAGGTTAATGTGTACTAATCCTGCTCTTTTTTAAACACCGTGTCATTTGCGTGCCATTTGTTTGACATTATGGCTGGTGGGTTCCACTCTTTATCCCATTTTTAACTGATATTTTATGGCCAACCTATTTGCCCTAGTTCAAGTTTTCAAAGTTGGGGGTTAAGGTTCTCTTCAAAACCACAAGGCTTTCTCTCATTTCTTCAATTCTTTCCTTACGTTAGTCGAGGGGAAAAGATTGTGGGTGTTTGTGAGTTTATTCTCATGGAATCTTTCTCTAATTCTTGAGCTGGACCTTGTTGATTGTCGAGCCTCTGTTGGTGCAAGTGATGGTGCAATAGCGAGAACAGTTGTAAGGGATGTTGGGCTAGTTGAGTGAAACTATGAA